CAGAGGAGCAGGAAAGCTGACGTTTCGGGCCAAGAAGGGTCTAGGCCCGAAATGTCAGCTTTCCTGCTCCTTTGATGCTGCTTGGCCTGCTGTGTTCATCCAGCTCTACACCTTGTTATCTCAGATTCTCCAGCATCTGCAGTTCCTACTATCTCTGAATACTTAGCTAGACTGGCAGCACCTGTGGAGAGAGAAAGAACTCTAACACTGCACTTTGAAACAATTGTGATGACAGGTCTGTGGGTGCTCACAGGCAACTTGGCTACGGCCTTCACTTAATTTTAAGAAGTTGGAGCGAGTGTGCCTCTACCTTAGGGCAAAGTTCTCCCTCATTCACCTGTCATGGCATCCTGCCCTCAGAACCTGCAGCCTCAAACTGCAGCACTCCTGTGCCCATCTTCAACATTGTCCATACTTGAAAACATATGCGGACTACAATATAAAACAATAATTACCACTTACAAAGTAATGGCACTACACCAATGCCAGAGGGAGAAAAGTACCGAATAATACATTCAGCATTTTCCTAATACATTATAATTTCACCAACACAACCCTATGTCTGGACTCAATCTTTCAATTCCTGGCGAGTGATACAAAATACATGAATATCAATAACCCCACCAAAACAAAATTGAATTGAAACAGAAAACAGGAGTTGTTTTTCACCGATTCATACAATAGATTCATACAGCACAGAAACAGACCCTTCAATCCAACTTGTTCATGCAGACCAGACATTCCAGTCTGACCTAGTTGTATTTGCCAGCATTTGGCCCATATCCCTCAAAACCCTTCCAATCATGTACCCATCCAGATGCCTTTTAAATGTTGTAATTGTACCAGCCTCCACCACTTCCTCTGGCAGCTTGTTCCATACACGCATCAGCATCTGCATGAAAAAGTTACCCCTCAGGTCCTTTTTAAATCTTCCCCCTCCCGCCTTAAACCTATGCCCTCCGTTTTGAACTCTCCCACCCTAGGAAAAAGACCTTGGCTATCCACCCTATCCATGCCCCTCATGATTTTATAAACCTCTACAAAGTTACCCCTCAGCCTCCAACACTCCAGGGAAAATAGCCTCCAGTCCCGGCAATACCCTTGTAAATCTTTTCTGCACCTGCCCAAATTTAACAACATCCTTCCTATGAGCAACCAGAATAGCTGCAGTATTCCAAAAGTGGCCTCACCAATGTCCTGTACAGCTGCAACATAACCTCCCAACTCCTACACTCAATGTTTTGGCCAATGCAGGCAAGAGTGCCAAACGCCTTCTTCACAATCTATTTACCTGTGACCCTAAAGCCAAAATGAATAATTAGCGGACAATTTTAATCAATTATGTTTTCTATTTTAAAAAATGTTCTTGACTATATTGTCGAGATTAGAAATGGCAGGCCGCAAACTGGATGGATCTTACAGAATAGAAAGAGGCCGTATAGCCCAGTTTTTTGAAAGTGTAGTCCAATTACTCCTATTCCTTTCGAGTATTCAGTTCTCTTTCACAATTAATCCATTTACAATTTTGCTGGCTTTGGACCCCGGGAAACGTAGACTCTACTTTTAAAGGCTCCTCAGAATTGGTGGTGTTCCTTACCCTGGAAGTAATGAATGACACAGCACCACCGACAAAAAAGCTGATACTTTCTGATTGAAAGTCTTGCCAACAATTCCAAATGAATTGATTTTTTTTAATGCAACCTAAAATGTCTTAGTATAGCGATAAGAAATGTACTGATTAATTAAAAGAAATTTAATGAATAATATTTCCGTACTCTCTTGCACAGGTGCAGTCTGTCAATTATACAATATAAACGCATATGGCAGTGAAATACAAAGAATGTGGGCTTGCAAACTCTCAGTGGCATACTAATCTGAGCAAATCAAGGCAGGAATGAATAAAAATATCAAAGTATTACAGGAAAAGAGAAACTGCAAACACCTACATTAAAATTTGAAAGGAAACCACAAAACATTATAAATTCATTTTTAAGGATTTTGGTTTATAAAATAATGCATACAAATGCTAAAGATTTGAAGTGTTAACATTTGCATTTGAATAAAACAATATTTACGAAAATGCAATCAAAGTTTGAGATTATTTCTACAAATATCAGTAGATTATAGTTTTTCAGAAGGCTGACATTGTTGGCAGATAACTGTACCAAGGCTAATCCCCTAACCTCCCACCACAATTTGTGAGTAATGAATATAAGTGACATTAAAACAAGAACAAAATCTTTCCCTCTCAGAGCAATAGTCCATGCAGTGTGGGTTTTAACATTTACCCAGAAGCGCAAACGTGCTGAAACTCACAATGAATCCATAATTGCCTTTTCATCCTTGCCATCTTAGTTAGCAAATACAAAGTGGGCTATGCTGTGAATATGAGACGGGGGTAGAGGAGGGTGTGGTGAGAGAGAGGAATTGCCTTATTCTGTTATTGAAACTTTGCTATGTTCTGAGTAAGAAGTAATTAAAATAAACAGTAAAAGTAAAATTTCTCTTCACTGAAATACCTTTGGAAATAATTCCTTTCTAGACTGGAATTCTGGTCAGCAGCATAATATAAGTTAGTCTGAGTGTGGGGTCAATTAGGAGGGGGAGCAGCTATCTGATAGACAGACAATTAACAAGTAAGCAAATCATGATATCTGAAAACAATCCACTTCCTAAAAAAGGATAAGCTTCTTCAAACAGATTATTAAGGCAATATGACATTTAGACTGATTAATAAACTTACGTACTTTATAAAAATTCATTTGATTTAGTCAGTGATGCAGTAATATTAATCTAAAATAAATTCTTTTTTCCTAAAAAACTACATTACCTTTCATTTTAAAATTACAATTCACTGTATATTCCTTGCATACAGTTTCCCTTGTTTTGATTTTAAGATTCCAACACTCATTTTTGCAAATGTTCTACATAGGACTCCCAAAAGATAATTTTTTTTTTTACTTCATTTTGCAGTCAATTTGTAAAAAAGCATTTGAATGAAAAAATACGTCATGAGGTGTTAACAAAACAAGATTTCACCAAGGCAATGTTCCAAGTGCACATGGCTTGCTTCAGGCACTTAATGTTGCTTTGCATATGGTGAAAGGTTATTAGTCACTTTGGTGAGCAAAACTCTATCTGGATTTATTGAGTTTTATACCATTAATCATCGATAAACTTAGGCCTTGAGATTACATTGCAAAATAGGAGGTATGAATGGTTGATAGGTTGGTCCAAACTTAGTCTCTCTGCTATTTTGCCAGAGGGTTTAACTTGTTTAAAATAAATAGGTTAATTGCGCTGTTAAATATAGGACAGAAGTAGTTATGGCAAATGCATTAGCCATTTGTGCTCAAGTGTAAATTCAAGGCCCAGTTCCATTAACTGCCTGCATTCTGCTCTAGCCTTCTCATAAGGTTCCAAGTACATGCTGGACAATTTACTCTATGAAAAACAGCATCAGTGATTGGTGGCTGTCCTATGATGAAGAGTAAAGTTGGCTTATCAAACTATTTATACCTCCAGCTCAAAGCCGGGCTACACAACTAATTGTACGCCCTTCATTCGTGACACCAAACTCCCTAGGGCAGAAATGAATTTGAGAAGGATAAAGGTCACGAGAGCAGATGTGAAACTTTGGAAAAGGCTAAAAGCACATGACAATGAATTTTCTCCCTTTTGAAACTATTCAATGGCAAGGCATTCTGCAGTTCCAGTTTTAATCACTGAAGCAAGATCCCCAGAGCTGCCTAGTCAAATGATAGCAAATCTGGATGGGGCTCCTCATTTTCAATACTTGAGCATCTTTGCTGTGGCACTCCAGAGTCTTCAGAGTCATTCCCTAAAAGGTCATCTTCACTAATGCTGATTCGTAAGCAAGCCTTGTCTGGATGTGGGGAAGACGCCATGTGTTTCTCATGGCCAGGTGGCCTGAGTTTAATGTCCACAGGTTCCTTGTTGAGAAGGTCAGGAACAGAAAGGGCAGGCGTGGCAAAGTCCAGTGTGCTACAAAGCTCACGCTCTGACTTGGCCTCAGCAGTGTGTTCAGAAGTTAGGTTGTCCGCGCTGCTCGTGAGGGCAGTTTTGACACTGTTGGCTGTACTTTCAGTGGTACCAGTCTTTCGCAGCGTTGTTTCTACAGAGCTTACTGTAGCTGGATCGGAATCCTCAGTGCTGTTAACCACTGGCACCGATGATATCATCATGTCCTGAGTAGTCTTCAAAGCTCGAGGTGTCCTCTTTTTGACCGTTGGTGGTGGCGGCTCTAACCGAGGGAAGGTATCCAAAATGCCTTGTCTGTAATTAAAGAAGCAGTGCAGAGGTTAGTTTCCAAAACTGTTCCGGCACAAGCTAAAATGTGCATCAGTTAGCACACAGACTTTCAGAAAGCTAAGCAGATTCAATTTCTCTTCTCAAGTCACCAATATTCCTCATTAATGAGATCGCTCACACTTCCACTGTTTCAAAGTGACAAAGTTTAGGGGTGCTGTAAGCTGTGAGGACAGTGACAAGGAGTGGGTAGGTGGAAGATTAAAGTCAATACAGGGAAGTGAGAGGTGATATACTTTGGTAGAAAGAACATGGAGACATAATACAAACCGCAAGATATTAGACTAAAGGATGTGCAGGAACGGAAAAACTGAGTGTATAAATGCATGAGTCATTAGGCGTGGCAGGACTAATGGAGAGAGCGTTTAATAAAGCATACAGTGTCCTCGGCTTTATTAATAGAGACAGAGTATGAGAACAAGGAGGCTACGCTGAATTTGTATAAGACACTAGTTAGACCTCAGCTGGAGTGTTGTGTCCAGTTCTGGTGACAAATTTAGGAAGGATGTGATGCATTGGAAAGAGTGTGCAGAAGAGTTTTACAAGGGAATGGTTCCAGAGATGAGAAATTTCAGTTACGAAGACAGATTGGAGATTTCGGGATTGTTGTCCTTGGAGAGGTGAAGTCCAGGAGGAGATTCAATCGAAGTTTTCAAACTCATGAGGAGTCTGGATAGATTAGATAGAGAAAAAAAATGTGTTCCCACTTGTAAAGGTTTGAGAACGAAAGAGAACAGACTTAAAGTAATTTGCATAAGAAGCAATTGTGAGGTGAGAAATAACTTTCTCACGCAGCGAGTAGTAACAGATATTTTCAATCATCCCATTCAGACATGTTAATAACACACCTCAGGAACAGGTGAGAACTGAGTTCAGGCTGCTGGCCCAGAGGTAGGGACACTCTCACTGTGCCACAAGACCCCTACCATGCAATCACTGTCTGGAATGCACTGCCGAGAAGCAGATCAATTAAATTGGGGCTTTCAAGAGGACATCAGATGATTATTTGAGTAGAAACAAGGTGCAGGGTTATGGGGAAAAGGCAGAAAATTGGCATAAAGTCATAACGCTCATTTTGACAGCGATGCAGGCATGATAGCTGAATAGTCACCTCCGAATCCGAACTATGATTTTGTGAAAGCGATTGTCAGAAAAAAAACAGGAGCAAATGGGAGCTAGAAAGACGAGGTGCTGGATCACGAGCTCACATTGAGCTCCAGTGGAACATTGCAGCAGCCAAGAGCAGAAACATAAGCATGACTGCAAGATGGTCGACTAACATGGAAAGCAAGTGGATACTCAGGGTCACACTAGTGAACTGAATGGAGAAGACCCACAAAGTAGTTGCCCAGGATACGTTTGGCCTGCGAAAATGTGATTACAATATGGTCTCCTCTATATTGGAACGATCCAATGGAGAATGGGCAGCTGCTTTACAAACCACCTTCCGCTCAGTTCGCAACAGTGAACCCTGAGCTTCCAATTGCTCATCACAGAAACGCAAATACACCTTTAACAAACAGTTCTGGGTTTATTGCCAGTTCCATATTTATGCCATTTGGTGTCACTGTGGAGCACTAGAGATTTGCCTCAAAATGTTTTGGCATCGACAGTTTCTGCCATTCCTTCCATAGTCTGGGAAATGTTCAAACTCTTACCCGTTAAAATTCCAAGAATCGGCATTTTATCTCATGCACCATCAGAGAAATATCTTTAGATTACTAATGTTTAACTAGTTTGCAATGTTACAGTGTGGTTGCTGTATTTTATTGTCCTCCTTTATACCACTCCTTCCTTCAGTGACTGGTTTTTGACCTCTGCTGCTAGTCCCCAACGCAGTGAAAGAAGAAAAACACCCTACAGGCTCAGAGCCGAAGCTCCTGCTGGTTGCTTGCACATTCCGGTTGCAGCACTCCATACTTTATTTCCTATCTCGGGTGCTGCTACTTTTTCCAGTAAAACTGCAGCTTCAACATTCAAAGTTGAACTTCCTTGTTGCGCCATTTTACATGAAGGCACAGAAATCAATTTTTGGTCATGCAAATGATCCTGAATTATAAAATGTGGATGTGGAGGCTGGATCGATGGAGACAAACGTTGGAATAAATAACTGCAAGAAGGTGAAGTATCTTTTCATGACAAAACTTGTAGCTTTCAGATGTGAATGCAACTCTTTCAATGCATTACACTCTTCAATTCATCTTTTACTCTCAGTTACAAGCAGATGCTTGGGGTTTAATTTGTCTGCATAACACTCAAATTACTGTGCCAAAATTTTGCTGCCTCCTTAAAACACTTCTTTAAAAAGAACAAGCTCTTTTTTGGACAAATGACTAATTGCTCGGTCAAGTGCCTCTTTCTGTGGTTGGTGTCAAATTTTACATGAATTCATTTTTGTATTGAATCCAGGGTTTTTGACTGTGTTAATAGTGATTTATAATTGCAAGTTGCTGCTGCTGCTCAAACCAGCGAAACATTGATCACTGCACTTTTGGATTTATTATGCATGACGTGCCTTGCCCTGCGTTGATGTGAAAGGTGCTACATGGATGGTGTGTGAAGCAATGTTGCCTTCGGCACAGCACAATAGATTGCAATTTCTGAGCAGTTCTGCATTTGAACATGAACCCCCTGACGGAGGTACATTTACCAATTCCCTCATCCCAGTGCGTAACGTTCAGTAAAAATAGGAAATACCATGACTTGTGCATTCAGTGGCAATGGTTCACAGTCAAGATCAAAGTAAAACATATTGCCATGGACTTGAGGGATCAAATGCTACCCAACTGGGCTGAAATGATTCTATTTATTGTTTTCATATCTGAGCTGACGACGTTGCAAATTCTAAAAGAAAGGCTTGGTGATCATGATACAGAACCTTAAATGCACCTTCTGTATAAGATGTGATATAGCACAATATTTCAGTAGAATATGATAAAGAATTACTTGCATTTAGATAGCACATTTCATGACCTCAGGGCCTCCCAAAGCACTACACAGTTAATAACGTACTGAAGAAGTGTAGCCACTATTGGAACACAAGAAACATTGCTCAGTTGCAGTGGACGAGGTGTGGATCTGTCTGTCTGTAGGAGCAGGCGCTTTAGGAAGAGTACAGAATACAGAGTGTTCAGGCAGGTTGATGCCATTACCCAGACCTTTGACAGACACAACAGGCTGTCACATCTTCCCCTCTGACTGAACCTGAGACTTGGTGGAAAGGGAACTGTAACAAAGCGATGAGTACATTCAGAGTGATTTATGATCAGGCATTGACCTAATCCATAAATCTGTCTTTAATGCAGCTGGGTATAAAAGAAACACTGATTTCAATGTTCTTGCCGAACCAGCGTGTGACACAGAAAAGCCAACATGGGCACCACAGCAGTGGGACGAGCAATGTCATTATGCCATTCTGGAACAGCGTGGCAGTCATAAAAAGTGCATCACTACAAACATGTTCAATCATGATTATATGAGACATTACATGAAACATTTTTTGGTTCTGAGAAAATTGACTTAACAGTGTCATTTAATACCACTAATGCTGACTTACAAGGAGGGTGTATGCTGCAAATTCTTATTGCATTTATGAAAATGCTCAGGGGAATGTATGTTAGCAAAATGTCAACGTTCTGAAGACTGGTTTTACTGCACTGTGGCACAAACAGTACGGGAAGAGTGGTGCCTGCCTTAGTATGGTGGCTCAATGCTGCCAAAGTTACCAGACATTTTTAGTCCTGCTCCCATGGTATGTGATCATTGGTAACTACCTCCTGTGCTGTGTGTATATAGAAATTCAGGTTGATATTGCTATGCAATACTCAGGGAGTACTACATGGTTGGAGGTGCCACATGTCAGATGAATTGTCAAACTGAGCCCCTGGCTACCCCCTCTGACAGATATAAGAGCACTGTCACTCTAAGCCCACTGCCCCACGTCACAACATGAAATAAATATACTTTATCTACTCACCAAGATGACTAACTAAATACCTTAACCAGAACAGGTTGCAAACAAAAAGACTTATCAACCTGGTTTCTTACCATCAAAACAGAACTTAAATCAATAAATATACACGAATTAGTCAATATACATGGTCAGTAATACAGAATATAAATGCTTATCCCTATGACACACACAAACACACAAACACAAACACACAAACACACACACCTCTCCCCCCCTCAGGAAAATAAAATACAAATAGATTTCTCTGCAAAAAATGGCCTTCTGAAAATAATGTGGTTATTTTGAAGGTAAAAGGATATGGCACAAATTGCTTCAGAGTCTGGTGCTCTGATATTCTGGCATGTGTAGTGAAGTCACTGATCATGAATGCTTGTCTCCTAAATCTTACCAACGCAGCTAGGTCAGGAAATACATCTAGATTTGTTCTTTCAATCACTCTTTTAAAGGAGAAAATAGGTTTCATCCTAAACTAATGTGGAGGATTTTCTTTTTGGGAATGGGAGAGATCAGCTGGACAGCTTGTTCACTAAAGGTTCCCTCCAACTCAACTTGTTCCTGGCAGGTTTTCCTCCAGCTGATCCAGAGAAAACAACCACCTCTCTAAGCTGTTAAAACAGCCCCAGCAGGGACTAAAACAATATCATCAATCATGTGATTTCTAAGAAGCCTTATTAAAAAATACCGCAATATCCACAGTGAACTTCCAATGAACCCCTTTAAAGAAACCAGTCCAGATATCACCACAAAATTTGAAATGAATTCCTTTTCCCACAATCCTTCAAAACTTAAGTCCTCCCAGCAATATAAGATATAAAGTGCTATAGTATTCATAGCAGAACATGGGAGTTCTCTCTGGCCACCTGGTCAATATTTATTCCTCATCCACACTTCGAAGATGATTATCTGCTTGTGGTCAAACATGGTCAATGGTTCTCTCTGTAAAGTACAAATTGCCTAGAGGAAGAGAATAGTGTTTAGTCCAAAGCACTTTTCGCCTTTTGTTACAGTAAACATTTTATATTCGAAATCTTGCCATGCTATTCTTTCAGCTATTAACTGGAAGTTAGAGTCATTTTGTAATAGTTGTCAATCTCTATGGAGATTGTAACATGCATCACGAGCTTTGGGACAACTTGAGGTTATGAAAAGCGCTTTACAGAGGATGAGAGGATGATCTTTACTAACTGCCTCCCGTGCTGTGTGCAGCTATCATTCAGGGTGACACTCCAGTAGGGAATGCTACATTGTCAGATCTACCATCGTATTGACGATGTGTTAAACAATTTCCTTGCTCGGTAGGATCGTTGTGTGTCAGCGCTTGAGTGTGTGTCAACTGTTGGAAGTCAAAAAACACACACACAATGAGGGACAAACCTGCAGCACCTGTTGTGAATAAATGATCCTGCATCCTGCAGCTATGTTGTGCCTCAACGATTTTTATGTGTATTCTCCATTGAAGATGAGAGCCTTCTATAGATTGCAGTTATATAAAATCTACAGCACTGAAATGTCCTGTGTGTCCAATTTATTAACATTGGGCTGATTGATGCACAGCGGCTCCTCTCACTCCTAACTTTATCAGCTCAAAGCTTTTGAATTAGGATTTTGGGTTATAGATTCACAAGAAATGAAAGACCTCCGATGATAAAGGCCATAATAATATTCAGAAGAAACACAGTCTTAACTCAAAAGATAAAAAAGCTAAAAGATAATGATGACCTTATATAGAGCTCAGCCAGAGTACTGGATAGAGTAATGAGCTCCCTGCCCTAGGCATGAAGTCAATATTCATCATAAGTTGTAACACTGATGTGTGCTCTGTTGGAGTTTGACTGCAAGTTTGTGCACAGCTTATGAGAAACAAGTTGATAAAGAGCACTCAGTGTCTGCCAATGTGAGCCATCTTCCTGGTCAGTGTTACAGTTGGGCATTTTTCCCCTTGGCATTTGTTTCTAGGTGGCAACATAGTTATGCTAGTACAATGATGGGACAGGCTCAATGGGATGAATAGTCCAAACTGGTTTCTACTATCTGGACAAACATTTTTCTGCTAATGATACTGTACTGTTCTCCGAGGAACAGTTCCCTGATCTGTCAATTAGGATAAACTTTATCTCAGTACTCTGGCCACCATTTGAGATTCAGGGACTGTGTCGCCCCCATTGCTTGGCTTCAAACTCTGCTGCCTGCTTTTAAATTTATTCTGGCAGCTACTGATTTATACCTCCTACAGCCTGTGTGATGACTGCAAGAATGAAAACAAATTCTCAGGTCATTGGGTTGGTAAGAAGTCAATGCCTCCCCCACATTGAGATAATGCAGCAGCTTTATGCTGTCTCTCACTCACCCAGCTGAAAGCTGAGGCAATATGGCTAAGCACACATCATTCTTAATCAATCACTGCTCCCTATACATGGGCAGCAGTGCCAGTGGTACTAAAGTGCCAGGGAACCCAGAGCATGGAACCACAAGAATTGTGTGGATATAAAGTGGGGTCATGGAATATGGAAATGTATGGAGACATTCCAAAATCTGTATAAAATTACTTTTACATTTTTTAGTTTTTAAAAATGTGTCAGACATTCTGTGCACCAATACAACTATTGCTGATCTAACAAACATATCCAGAGAATGCATTATAACAATAATGTGGCTTCAAGAGGTGTGTTTTGTCCTGGTTTCTTTGAGAGAGAGATTGGGGGACAGGTGACGAGAAGTCTATGAGAAGATAAACAACTTGTGAAGCCTTGAGTTTTTTTTAAATGAAGAAGTTGTAACAATAGAAGCAGCCTGAATGGGCGTGTTTGAGCTCCCACAGAACCAGGGATTTTAGGTTTAGCTTTCCATCAGTTGCTGTTGGGGTCTGGAAGAAGTGGAAGCTATATTTTCCCTCTCTCAGTTACAGCCACAAGCTGGAGGATCTCTGCCTGCTATGGGAGTCACATGCGAGGCAATCTGTGTTCTGAATTTGCCTTTTGCCAAGGATGTGTTTATGGGATGTTATTACATTCGAACAGTTAATTAGTAGTAGTTACTGTGTCTATTGTTCTGTGGAGTTTTCCAATAGAGTTAAGTTTTTCCAATTCTTCCTTTCTTTTTTCTGTTGTTGTATTTTAATTATATTGTATGAATAAATTGTGCTTTGCTTAACATTGAGTAGTTTGATCAATCGAATTGTCACAGGACATTGTGATCCATGTTAATAATAATGCCAAATATATGTGTTTTGTTCAAGCTGCAGCACCTTACGTTTACCATTAAAAATAAGAAAAGATCAGGGCCTAGGTTACCTTCTTAATATATTTTGAGGTAGTCTCGTCTTGTCCATAGCAGTATTATACGGAGGATCTAGATAAACACGTGAGGCACAAGGGAACAGAAGGTAATGAGGATGGTGTTAGATGAATCAGGATGGAAGTAGTTTTGAGAGTAGCAGAAAGATTGACACAAATGAGTTGGGCTGACGGCCTGTTGCTGTGTGGTGAGCTTTAGTCATCTTATATAGTTTATTAAGGAAGCAGTCTGTGATGATCATTACATCCTTCAGCACGTCAGATGTGTTAGCCACATACCAGCTGAACATTCGCCTTATCGCGACCTGGAGACTATTCCACATTGAGCCAGAAAAAAGTCTGACTTACATTCCATTGTTGGCCGCAGCTCCTTTGTCGTCCTTGCCCGCCACTGAAACGGCCCCCTCCGCATTCTTGTTGACCTCGGTCATGCCCACTTCCATCGCAGTGCTTTGCTCCTTTCTCCGAAGCAGGTCGTTGACCTTTGCCCCCATGGCCTTCCCCAAATTGATGGCGCTCTTAAGGTGCTGGCTGTTGATGCCTCCACTGCCCAACCGCCCGCCTGATTCAACAGCTATGGTCGTCGAGGAGCCTGCAAGGTTTCCTTTAGCTGAGACAGCCTTACTGTGGTGACGTTTGGGCGTGGGAGCTGTATTAGAATTCTCAAACATACTTTGATCAACTGCCCAGAAGAAATGGAGGGGAGAAAAAAAAGTCAATGGCTTAATCTTTTCACCCAGTGAGGCAACACAGATCATTATAGTGATCAATTTCTTTTAACAATTCGTAGCAAATGATTCGTTGTGTAACCAGATGTACATTGACCCGCAGTTTCCACTTTGCACCCAGATTGCTGGCTTTGCCCAAATTTCCCACTAGTTTTCAGGAATGTTTCATCCCTCCCTGCTCTCCCAACCAATCTTTCATTTAAACTCAGTTGCATTTTGTTGAATGCAAAATCCACCCAGAACCTGCACAACTTAGCAACACTTTAGAACATAGCTTAATAAAAAAAAACTTGAAAATAAATTGTTTGATGTCTTTAAGACTGGGAACTGGTCACAGTTTGAGGAATGCTGCAGAAAGTAGGCTTATCACAAAATAGTGAGCTTTCTCACTCAATGTCTTATCGACTACCTGGGAGGAACTTAATTCTAAATTACTAAGGAAAACCACTTTTGGATCTTCCTCTTAGAGTTGCGAATGGGTACCAGCAATGAAATCTTGCTATCCTGATTCATTTGAGTTTAGATTGCAGTCAGATTTATAGGCAGGTTAATCTTCCGGCCAGTTGCCTTTTGAATAAACACAAAAGATTCTAGATTTGCACTGGATGCAAGCTTTAAATTCTGCTGACCATCACATTGCTTGATCAATTTTGGGTATGAAAAGTAATTCAGACCACCGTACGGAAATGGCCAGGTCAATAATTGTCATCGGTAAGAGAATGTGAAGGGAGGAGGGATGATTAAAAATAGTTCGCAGACAATGTAATGGGAGAAAACAGCAGAAGTGTCTTACCTTGGAAAAGAACAGCTCAGACAGCATTAAAGCAACAGAAAGTAAGGGAGAGCAATTCACAGCAAGAAAAGCATGATTAATCAGCAGTTAAAGATTCCTACACGATCAGTAATAATAATGGCTCATGTTATACAGATCCAATTACAACATGCTGATATTTCATGCTATATTTAACAGAAAAATGGTGATTTTTAAGAGTCAAACAATCAAAAATTTGGCATGTTTAATAAGTGCTCATCAGCATCAAGAGATCTAATATTCAAATATTTGCATTTTCCAGATCTGTCCTCAAAATCAAAAGTTGCAATTTTACCTAAAGTGAGATTGCAATTGGGAAAAAAATGAAGCATGCAGAATATTCATACAAGACATTTTAGAACAGTCATCAGCTTAAGCAAAACACATATATTTGGCAATATTATTAACATGGATCACAATGTCCTGGGACAATAAAATAATTAATTCATTCAAATTAAAAACCAGTGTCATTACATTTTCCAACTACTTTTACATTCTAAACGACATCGGTAGGGAAAAGGATGAGTTCTGCAGAGAATATAGGAAACTAGGCAGGAGGTTAAAATGTAGGTCCTCAAGGGTGGTAATGTCTAGACTACTACCAGTGTCACATGCTAGTGAGAGTAGGAATAGGAGGATACAGCAGATGAATGCGTGGCTGAGGAGCTGGTGCAGAGGGGTAAGGATTCACATTTTTGGACCTTTGGGATCTCTTCAAGGGTGAAAATGACCTATTTAAGGGGGACAGGATCTACCGGAATTGGAAAGGGATCGATATCCTTGTGGGGAAATTTGCAAGTGCTACTTTGGAGGCTTTAAACTAGGAGAGGGGAGGGTGGGAACCCAAAGCAACAGTGAGAAATGAGAAAAGCCTAAGGCTGGTACAGTAGATAAGGGTAGCAAGTCTAATAGTCAAGGCAGACAAGAACTTGGCAAAGAACGAGGTAAGACTGATTGATAAACTGCATTTACTTCAATGCAAGAGGCCTGAGAGGCAAGGAAGGTGAACTTAGGGCATGGTTGGGGACCTGGAACTGGTTTATCATAGCTATTACAGAAATGTGGCTCAGGAACAGACAGCCCTGGCATCGTAATGTTCTGGGGTATAGTTGCTATAGGAAAGACAGATAGGGGCAGAAGAGAGGAAGGCGATTGGCATTTCTGGATAGGGAGAACATTACAGTTGTACTTAGGGAGGATAGTCCTGGGAGATTGTCCAGTAAAGTTATATGGCGGAGGGGGGGACCTAAATAATAGGAAAGGGATGATTCACCTTGTTGGGATTGTACTATGGGCCCCCAGATAGTCATCAGGAAATTGAGAACCAAATAGTAAGGATATCTCACATATATGAAAGAAAAATAGGGTTGTAATGGGAGAGGATTTTAACTTTCCGAACACAGACTGGGACTACCAGAGAGTTAAAGGCTTGGATGGAGAGGAATTTGTTTAAGTGTGTACAAGAAAACTTTCTGATTTAATATGTGATGTACCTGCTACAGAGGGAGCAAAACTCTGTTCGGTAATAGGGCAGGGCAAGTGACTGAGGTATCAGTGGGGGAGCACTTTGGGGCAGGTGATCATAATTCTATTAGTTTTAAAATAGTTGTGAAAAAGGCTAGAAATGATCAAAAAGTTAAAGTCTAAAGAAAGCCAATTTTGAAGATATTGGACAAGAATTTTCAAAAGTTGATGGGGGGAGGCTATTCATAGGTACAGAGATGGTTGGGCCTTTAAGAATGAGCTAATCAGAGCTCAGAGACAGTATGTTCCTTTAGTGTGAAGGGCAAGGCTGGTAGGTGTAGGAAATGCTGGATGACTAGAGAAATTGAGGCTCTGGTCAGGAAAAAAGGAGGCATATATCACATACAGATAGCTGGGATTAAAGTGAATCCCTAGATGAGTGTAAAGGCAGTAAGAGTATATTTAAGAGGGAAATCAGGAGGGCAAAAAGGGGACATGAGATAGCTTTGGCAAATAGGGTTAAGGAGAATCCAAAGAGATTCTTTAAATACATTAAGGGCAAATGAGTAACAAGGGGGGGGAAGAGGGCCCTTTTAATATCAACCTGGCCACCTATATGTGGAACAACAGGAGATGGGGGAGATACTAAATGAATATTTTGTGTCAGTATTTACTGTGGGGAAGTTGGGAAATAAATAGTGAAGTCTTGAAAAGAGTTCGTATTATAGAGGAGATGGTGCTGGAGGTCTTCAAAAACAAAGGTTGATAAATCACTGGGGTCTGATCGGGTGTTTCCCAGAACTTTGTGGGAAGCGAGGGAAGAGATAGCTGGGCCTCTTGCTGAGATATTTGTATCATTAATTGCCGTGAGTGAGGAGCCAGAAGACTGGAAGTTGGCTAATGTGGTGCCATTATTTAAGAAAGGCAGTAAGAAAAGCCAGGGAACTATAGACCAGTGAGCCTTATATCAGTGGTGGGTAAGTTATTGGAGAGGATTCTGAGGGACAGGATTTACATGCATTTGGAAAGGCAAGGACTGATTAGGGATAGTCAGCATGGCTTTCTGCGTGGGAAATGGTGTCTCACTAACTTGATTGAGTTGCTTTGAAGAGGCGACAAAGATCGAAGAAGGCAAAGTGGTGGACATTGTCTGCATGGAATTCAGCAAAGTGTTCAACAAAGTTCTGCATGGTAGACTGATTAGTAAGGTAGATCACATGGAATCCAGGGGGAGCTGGTCAATTAGATACAAAATTGGCTTGAAGGTAGGAGACAGAGGATGGTGGTGGAGTGTTATTTTTCAACCTGAAGGCCTGTGACCCAGTAGTTTACCACAAGGATCAGTGCTGAGTTCATAGCTTTTTGACATTTATATAAATGATTTGGATGTGAATATGGGAGGTATGGTTACTAAGCTTGCACCACACGAAAACAGATGGTGTAGTGGACAGTGAAGATTATATCAGAGTACAACAGGACCTTAATCAGATGGGCCAATGAGTGGCAGATAGAGTTTATTGAATTGAATCCATACGGTGTAGAAACAGGTCCTTCGGCCCAACAAGTCCACACCGACCCTCACAGTGTCCCACCCTGACCCATCCTCCTAATCTACACATCCCTGGGCACCATGGGCAATTTAGCACGGCCAATCCACCTAGCCTGCACGTCTTTGGACTGTGGGAGGAAACTGGTGCACGCGGAGGAAACCCACGCAGACATGGGGAGAACGTGCAAACTCCACACAGATAGTTGCCCGAGGCTGGAATCGAACCCGGGTCCCTGGTGCTGTGAGGCAGCAGTGCTAACTGCTGTGCCACCATGTCACCTCAGATCAATGTGGGGTGCTGCATTTTGGAAAGGCAAATCAAGGCAGGACTTACACAGTTAACGTTAGGGTCCTGGGGAGTGTTGCTGAACAAAGAGACCTGGAATGCAGGTGCATATTTCTTTGAAAGTGGAGTCACAGGTAGACAGGGTAGTGCAGAAGGCATTTGGTACACTTGCCTTCATTGGTCAGTGCATTGAGTATAGGAGTTGGGAGGTCTTGTTTTGGCTGTACAGGACACTAGTGAGGTCATTTTGGAATACTGCATAAAATTCTGGCTGCCCTTCTATACGGAGGATGTTGTTAAACTTGAGAGGGTGCAGAAAAGATTTACAAGGATGTTGCCTGGGTTGGAGGGTTTGAGCAATAGGGAGAGGCCGAATAGGCTGGGCCTATTTTTGCCTGGAATGTTGGAGAATGAATGGTGACCTTATAGAGGTTTATAAAATCATGAGGGGCACAAATAGGATGAATAGCCAAGGTCTATTTCCGACAGTGGGGGAGTCCAAAACTAGGGGACATAGGTTTAAGGTGAGAGGGGAAAGATTTAAAAGGGACCTAAGGGACAACCTTTTCATGCAGAGGATGGTGCACATATGGAACGAGCTGCCAGAGGAAATGGTGGAGTTTGGTACAATTACAGCAATTAAAAGCATCTGGATGGGTAGACGAATAGGAGGGGTTTGAGAGGGATTTGGGCCAAATGCTGGCAAATGGGACTGGGAGAGATTGGGATGTCTGGTCAGCATGGACAAGTTGAACTGAAGGGTCTGTTTCTGTGCTGTAAGGCTCTATATATCAACCACAGCCATTCCATTAGAGCTCTGTGTTGCTCTGAAAATAGTTTATGA